TTATTATGAATAATTGGCTGAATAATTCACTTTTCCACCCTAGTGAGATCAAAATTCCGGTCCAAGCAAGCACAGTAGGTTGAAAACCCCCACTGTTCATTGCTGTCCAGAAATCTTCTTCCTCTCCCATTTCAACACTGAGCAGAGGAACCATGATAGAGACCTGCTGGAGTCCTCTGGGCGGGTGACTCATTTCTAGTCAAAGTGATGAAAAATTTATCTTGCCAGGTTCTGCTTATCTTGAGCTCCCTGCAAAGCCTCATTACATCTTTTGGAAAAACTCTACTTTGATTTTTGTTTTCAGTTCAGAAGATACTGACGGAGCTTCAACTGCTGGCATTTACTTTTTTTTTAAATAGCATTCATTACTGTAACACATTTTTGTAGGGTAAGCAGTTCAAAATCCATGAACAATTCGTTTAAATTGCTGAAGCCACAGTTTATATGACAAGGAGGTTAGTGGGGTTAAAGGCCAAAGAATCCTGGCTAATATATGTATGTGTTTAATAAATGACAAGTACCAGCAGGAGGGTTGAGAGGAGAGGGAGCGTGAGTTGAAACTAGAATTAAGTGAGGTTTTCGTTCACATAGGATTAGATGCCTCTCACTGCCGAAGATGGATTCAGTCCAGCACTCTCTCCCTGTTGCTTTTCTTTCACCTCTTATTTCTCTCCTTTGTGATCCTGCAGTCTTTGATCTTTCTCCTTCCTTTGTGTTCTATTCCTCTAGTCTGCAGACATTCTTTTACTCCTTATGGTTGAAAATCGCTCCCATTTTCATTCATCAATTCATTTATTGGCAATAGTAATAACAGAATCTGCTTTTCATTCATTCATTTTGCTCGTCACACTCATACACCAATCAACCACAACATCTTTCTAATCTTGTGGAGGTCTCCCTCAAGCTTCCTAAACAGCTCTGACCCAAAGGGGTAAAAACACTGGAGCTTAAAGTGTGTCCTGTGATGTCAGGCACTTGGATTTATACAGCATGTTCTTGGAGTCTTGTGAGTAGCGGGGTGGGACTTGAGCATGTGAATGTCAGATTGGAAAGGATTTTAAAGCATAGATCATTGCCTCTTTTGTTGTGTTTCTTGGCCAAATCCTGAGCATTTCCTTTGGGGAGTAGGGATTTGTTTAGAACAATGTTTAGGTGGATGGTGCATGTCAAAAGATCCACCTGAATGCCCGGACCTATCAGAATATTGCATTGTAATGAGATGATCAGTATTATTCATTGGATTTGTCAGTATTCAGTGTTAAAGATAATCATTGTACACTAAACAGCTGGGATGATTATTTGAAATCTGCTCTACAGTTGCAGAAAACATTTTCCTGATTTTATAGTTTCAATAGTTATATATTTATTTGTCAAATGCAGCGTGATGATAATTTTGTGAACTATATTCTAATTTTTTTGTCGCTTTTTAATAGGAAACTAAAACATTTATGGATGTAGTAGCAGTCCTAATTTAATCAGAAGAACGTCTCCAGCTATTAAGTTGAATAACTGTTTAACTGTTTACAAATTCTGAGATATAAAATGTAAGTCAAAATTAAATATTGCTATTATAATTTGCCCTTTTTTTCCTTAATTTCAACTTTTTGACTGAAGTCAACAAAAGTGAAGTTTCGCTTCTTGTGCTGTTACACGTTAGCATACTGTACAGGCCTCACAAAACTTGTTTTGGAGATATTTTATTACCTGAAATGATAACATCACAGGTTTCATCCTCTCTGAATAAAAGGGAACACGCCTTATAAAAAGGTCAGTAGCTTCTTTCAAATGTGCATAAGCACAAGGAAAGATAATAGCTGGGCTTGACTCACTGTACTTGTTTTCCTCCAGAAGGCTGGATTATTTTACACCTCGGCTCAAAATGCACAATAGTGACTGGCAGGAGTGTAGGAACTACCCTGAAAGCTGGAAACACTGACACGATCGACCTGTAATAGAGAATTATGTTTCCCAAATGTGGTGGAAAAAAATTCAGACAAAGTATATCACAAAGCTCAGCTTTTCAATTACAGTAGTTACAGTAATTGCTGCTGCAAGGCATCAAATACAAAAGCCAGCAGACGCCTGTAGGTATACCAGACAGATGAATGTGAAAAAAGAAGCCCATGGAAGCCTCTTAGTCAAATTCATGTTCATCATAATTAACTGTAAATTGAACAATTGGACATAACCTGTTTCTGAACAGCCATAATATATGGTTTAAAGATTATTATAAAGCAACTTCCCATTAATACCAATCTGGCTGTGAACAAGCATACGATGTCTAACAATCTGTTGTTAGAATGAAAAGTAATTCTTCTCAACAATTCCATAAGATATTTTTTGTATTCACTGCATTGCAGAAGAAAACTCAAGCTGTGGCTTTGACATCATTATTTTTGGAAACCCTTTGCCTCCAAGAAGCCTTGCTGTCTCTGTCATCATTGCATGATGAGTCACAGCCAGCTCCAGGTGTAGATAAAAAAGATAACACCAAGATGCTCTGTTTGACAGGAGATATAATTGTTTAGGATGTACCCATGAAATTCCTTTTCTAACATTGAATACAACTGTACTGTATTTAATTGGCTTCATCCATAGTGGAAAGGGTCCACTTGAGGACAGTTTTATCTCTTGGTAAGGTCACTACAGGTCTACCATTGTTTAACTTTTACCACTTTAAGTTTCTTAAGAACAAAACAAAAAGACATGAATCTTTAGATACGTGTCACAAAGCTGCTATTCTTCAGTGGACAGCAAAGACAAATCTTGCGTGGAAAGGGCCTGGAGCCAAAATGCAAAGCAAATTGTTTTGTTTTCCCCCTGCATATTCTTTTTACTACTCTTACTCTTCCTAAAGGTGTGCAATGTCACTGATTATTCAACATTTACACAGTGAGCTATGTGCTCTGTCTACCTTGAAACTACTGCTGATGCATCACTGTTGCTGGGAAAACACCTAATTATCTTAGCTACTCAGCTGTATCAGGAAATACCCCATCTCCATTCTTGTAACAAACGGTGCCTTTTCATTTCCTTTCCTGGCTACTTTTGGAAGATAACAAATATCCTTCCTCAGAGTTTTAAGAATCTGTAGGTGGACAACATTTTCTTTTCTAAATCTCTTTAAAGATTTCATATTTAAATTCTGTCTGACTGTAAGTTATAGGCTCTACTAAATGCCTAGCAGAACAGTTACCAATTAAATGAACAGTACCATACATACAGACAGAAACACAAATGTCTACATACTTACACTGCTATCACAACTTTAAAGAAGTATAACAGAGCAAAGTGAGGTCAGAAATTCTGGTCCTGAATGTATTTCCATATGTGAAAGTCATGTTTGAGATTATTAGTTGTATCTGTTATAAATTTGCACATTTCTTGTTACAATCTCTGTTTTTATTAGTTGAAGTGTAAAAAATAAATAAATTTTACGTTTTATGTATATATGTATACAAAATACACACGATACCAAGTAATCACGTAGTTATGAAAACTAACCAAAATCTAAATGGCTCATATTGCTCTATATACATATGGATGGCTTTAATTAAGGCTTTTAAAATGTTACCAAAAGTCATCAGAATTACACTGTAAATAAAAGAGGTAGATTAAACGAAAGGTTCGGCAAGTTTTTCATGGGTCTACATACTCACAGATATAGTTCCCGTATAAATGTGGCACTATTTATAAGGAAATAAGATAAGATTTCTTGCCAAGAAGCATTTCTTTTCATAGAACTATAGTTATGTAGGTTCTGCAATGGTTTGATGACAAATGTGGGAAAGTGGGAAAAGAAAACAATCATCCAAAAAGATCATTTCACAAATATTTTTTTAGTACAGAGATATTTTGTTACTCAGATTATTTGGGGAAAGGTAAAAGGAAAAACTCTGCTTTTGAAGTTGAAAATGAGTCCATTTCAGTTAACTAACTATATATATATATATATATATATATATATATATATATATATATATATATATATATATATATATATATATATATATATATATATATATTTATATATATTTATATATATTCATATATATATATATATATTTATATATATTTATATATATTCATATATATATATATATATACTTGTATAGCGTGACTGTTATTGCTATTTCCACTGCTGCATGTGCTAAAGCAATAACTAACCTTAGTTCATTATTTAAAGACGCAGTAAAATAGAAAGTGAGCTGGGTGTTGCACACTCATATTTTTAGCTAAGAATTCATCGAGAGAAACATTTAATTTGATTGATTTTTGGTATCTAATTTAATATCAATAATGTGACATGTTGGTGGTTTTGCTGATTAACAAAATCGTGATACTGACATCCACCAGGTAGAGTATTTTAAGTAATCAGGATACAAATAGCTACAACAGAGTCCAAACATATAGACAGACTACAACTAAATAAAATACAAGTTCCTCACACTGTCAGCACAAGAGTTGGGGATGAGGAGGCTGCAGTGTCACAGTGTGGCTCTGGATTTCCTGACATTCTTGTCAAAAATGTCAACTTCCTTCTTCAGCCTGGCATAAATTATTTCTCAAAATGTGCAGAGTCTACAGTTTACTCCAGTTCCTACCTAAGTAAAGTGTCAATACTAAGACTGTTATAAACAAACTGTCAATCAATATGCTGAACAGTAATATTGAGCATGAACTATAAAGATGTTTGTGTACCACTCTAAAAAAATCCCAATTAAGACTAGTATAGAGTATGGAACACTTTTTGTATTTATTTGGGACTAATTTGGGACATGTAATGTTTTTGTGTTGTATCCTGTAGTAATATCAAATGTCTAAATTGTAACAGAGGCAGATGTGTTTAAAAACGTTGCCACGGATGCTAGAAATTCATACAATTTAATGAGAGTGCGATATAATCTGCTGGATAAAAGAATCCTCCATGCATGTCATTTTTTATTACAGGAAAACACCAAAGTTCTCTTCATGTGTTTGTTTTCTTTATGCCGCTGCAGATCTTATTGTCAAACTGGCAAAGGACAAGTTTGGAGCCATTCAGACGGAATATCAAAAGGTAACTGAGTGTGTGCTTGTTTGTGTGGTGAAATGATTGCTTTTCTGTGCCTTTCATCCTCCTTGCTGCATGTTTTTACTGATTGGAAACAGCAACTCATGAAATACATTACATTAGAAATGTAGAAACGCAGTAGTCTGTGACTTCTCTAAAACAAGGTGTCAATAGCTTTCATTAGCCAAGGCAATGCCATCTTTTTACCGGCATTCCAGGGGGAAAAAATGGTTATTGCTTCTGGCACAACCTATAAATTTAGAGAGATAAATCATTTGAGCTCATTGGAGCAAACAGGTTTGACAACCAAAGGCTTTTTAGGCCTGAGAGCTAAATAAAGAGTGCAATTTGCAGTCTTATTTATGTGCTATGTATGGAAATGCATGACTTTAATTTCTCTTTTTGTTGTTCTCTTTCATCACATGTGTTCACTTTGTGGCTTTGCTTTTTTTTTTTTGATGCTGCATTGCCTTTGTCTTCTGCATGCCCTCTTCATCTGATCTGGCCTCCTTCAGCCAGAGAACATAGTGCTGACCCTTCAGGTAAAGTCTGCACACTGGACTTAAAGTCTAACCGATCCCCCCCTTCCCATAATTCTCCACTATGAAAGTCATCAAGGCTGCACAATCATAGCTGAGATATTAATCTTGTATATTTTGTCTATTTTGTCATATTGATAATTGGAATATACAGGATTAGTTTTGCAGCCTTGTAACTTTCTCTCAGCCATCCCATCAACCTCACAGCCACCTTGGAACCTTCCCTTTAGCTTGACCTAAACCGTAGCCCCTCTTTCTTTTTGAAGCACATCCTCGTGCAGAGTTTTGTTTTTTCACTTTTATGGAAGTGATAGAGATGACTGGATAGAGAAACATAGAAAAAATGTTTTATACCACTAAGTGTCAGAGAATTCTACTTTGAATTTCATCTAGTTTGAACTTCGTGTTACAGGGGTTATGGTAAAATATTGCCTATAGTTCTCCACTGGCTCCTGAGGACCTACTGTGAGGCTAATATGTAGCACAAAACGGGACACTTACTGCCATATCAATCCAAGCATCGTCACTCAAATTTGACTTTTTTGAACTGCAAAGTAGTCTCCTCCTTTAGTTTTTATTATTATAATGATTAACAAGGATATTATACTTATGTTCATTATATCAGTGCATAAACAGTGTTCAGTGCTCATGGTGAATATCTCTGTATTCTCACTAGTCAGCATCTCAGCTGTATTTACTTTGACATCCACTTAAAAACACAGCATGTAAAAGCCACATGTAACACAACAGATACATTATGTTTGGGATCCTGATGGTGGCAGAACTCTGGACCTGGACTTGTAGTATGCATTAAGTGCAGCATTTTCCCTGGTTTAAAAATCTTTTCTATATCAGCATAAACAGGCCGGACTACCTCACAGGTCAACAAACTGTAACAGTGATTTTTACTGTGATTCTACAGCAGAGCTTTTAAATGGTTTGAATTTGTGCTTGTAGCCTGCCTGTAAAAGGCAGTGATTTCAAACTTTTATTGGAAGAGCAAAGCAGAATAGACTCTGTCCCAGCATGATATTATCCAGTGTCATGCCTGCTACCTTGAACATTTTGTAAAATAAATTCTTCCTCATATTGGGGAAATTGCTTATCACATCAGGCCCAATACATTGCAGTTTTTGTTTTGTTTTTTAATATTTATTTTTTTAAGAACAGCCTTTCATAGCCCTCATAGACAAATGCAAAGCAAATCAATCATCAGGCTTTAAAAGACTATTTAATGCAAAATCACAGCTGGCAGTGTATACGGTAGTCTTAGTTTTAACCAAAGTTTGCTTACGGTGGATTTAAATTGTCCAACTGTGTGTTTGAGAGTGTGTGTATTTACATGTTTTCCTGCAAGTATATGATGTTAAAGAGTACTTATACATAAATGTATGTTCATGACTTTATAGGGTATTTTCTGTGTTAGTGGGTGCTATACACCTACTTAAAAATCAGTTTGACAAAATTCTTCAAATCGTACACTTTTACCTCTTCATTCAACCGTGCTACAGTTATTCATTTTATCTCAGTTCCCCTGTATTAAACAAAGCTTTCTTAAAATAGGCTGCTCTTCTTAAGCTTTGTGTTGATTTGAATAGGTGAGTGGGGCTTCATATGGCCTCACATGGCCTCATTGTTGCATGTGTGTTGTTGCTGCCTGTGTTTGAGTAATTTCTGTAACTGTGAGACATCTGCTGCTGCCTATCTTGGCCAGGTCTCCCTTGAAAAAGAGGTTTTTAATCTCAATGGGATCTTCCTGGTTAAATAAAGGTTAATAAATAAATAAATAAACATGGCCATTTTAGATCTATCCACTCTAATAGTAAACATACAGAATCCCAGAAAAACAGAGCAGAGAAGTAGGCTGAGCTCTTATTGGGCATTAAGTTAACTGTTAATGAATCAAGGAAACGGCTTCTTGCTTGAGGATGCTTCAGCATGCCTCATGGCTGCTGCTGGCATTAAATCTGTTTCATGTTAAAGAAATTCACATCTTCACTCTTCAGACATGCTGCCAACCCATCATCCAGTTTGTTCTTATTGGAAGGTCACCTTCTTCTTTTGGGCACTTGCCAAGACAAAGCTATAGTCCCAAAATAGTAAGAGCTGGAGGCCCTTTAAGAGTGGCGGTGGAAAAAAAACGGCACATTTTTGACCTTTTTTTTTTTTTTTGCTGAAGATTCACCCAATAACAAGGAGAGCCCAGAAGGAGAATGACAATGCAAGCACTACAGTTTGCACAGTGTCCTCAACAACTGTGCTGACATTGGTGCCTTTAGATGATACACATACACATATGTGCACACACCCACGCAGACACACAGTCTTTCCTTTAGTTTTTGCCTCACAGCATTTTCAGAATCTCTGATTTCCCTTTTTCTCTTTGGACTCTGCAGTCTATATTTTTAAGGTCATAAAGAAAGCGATTAAGAGACTTTTTTGATGTCTTAGAAATTAATGTAGTCACACAGCTGGAGCCTTCACTCCTCCAAACATTAGCGACAGGACTGTGGGTTATTATCTTTACTCGAGTTTTCCATGTTTGCGTAAAGATTTAAAAATGAACCAGAAGACTGTTCCTCTCAGTCTTATTCAGAATCTATTTCTACCCTACCTTTTAGCCAAAAGCCAATGAAGGAGTCCCTGAAGGAGGCAGGTCACTGACTTGTGAGGGCGATTAAGATTAGTAAAAATCAGCTGGGAGAGCAGTTCCTCTATTCAAAGCAGTGATAGCAGTGCTGCTTTGATCCTTTCATAACGAGAAGCTATTGAACATCATTGTGACAAGTTACATATGGTGTGGGAATTACCAATCCCCTATTTAATTTTGACAATTTCCAGAGCCTATGCTGCGTGCAGTTTAGGTAGGGGCAGATTAAGTAGGAGCACTGTGGCACATGACAAGAAGAGCAAGTGAGAAGCTGCCAACAGCAGCATTTTAACTCTCAGTATATCAGAAAGAATTTGCTAAAGAAGCTTGTCATATTGAATATTGAAAGTTAAGGATTATTTAGGCTGTCATTGACAAATGATGTGCAGATTTCATAGGTGATGTTGAAAGGGTTCTAATTCCAGTAAATACAGTAATAGAAAGCATCGTCTCCAGGCTTGCCCTTGTGCTGTGGAGGTGCACATCTACAGCGAATGCAAAATCTCCTCCACTGTGTCACAACAGTGATCCTTTAACATGCATTTCATTTTAAAGTTGCAGGAACTGACTCGGGAAAATACTGAGTGGTGAAGGAGAATGTGCCTTCTCACAGTTTTGACAGCCTGACCCTAGGGGATGAATTCACCACATATAGACCCATAAATATATTAAAAATATATTTAAAAAATATCTGCATGCTCATGCTTGCACTCTTGATATGATGCTACTGATGAGAGTGCTTTGTTATGCTTGGAGGCCACAGGCTTTGCCACAGAGCTCAAGTTTGACCTCTGGGGTATAAAATTTGTGCACCTGCAAGGGGTCAGAGCAGGACTTCCTAGGAGCAATTCAAATGTAGCAGGAGCACCACAAACAGAGCAATGCAGAGACAAATTTAAACCAGGTCCGTTTTTTGTTTCTTTCAGGTGCAGAACTTAAAACTTCTTGTTGTGTTGTCTTATGCTAAGAAGTTAATGAAGTTGATATAAGATGAGTATTTCGGTCTAATAAAGATGGACACATTCGTTAGAATCTTCCTGAAGTTTGTAAGGTTGTTTTATGAAACTGAAGAAGTGACTTGGATGAGTGACGAATCGTTTCTCCCACTGAAAACGCTATGTCCAGATGAACAGATTAACCTTTTGGGATTTACTTACCTGACTGATTGAGTATGCATGCAAGTTTTAGCTAGGCGGAGGAAATGGTTACATTTTCTGATTACCGGCTACAAATTTTCACAGTAAAATTTCAGTTTCAGCCACCTAAGTTTAATTATTTTTGTTTATTTGTTTTAGAACTTCACCTCACCATTACTTACTAAAATCCTCTCCTGAATCCTGGAAGTTAGAAGAATCATCCACTGCCAACAAATGATTTCGCTTGCTTCATGGTTTGACTCCCTAAACTTAAATAAATTATAATGGTCTTAGGCATATACCTTATTTTCAATGAATGCAGAGCTCCACTGAAACAGGTATAATGATCTCACTCTGGGGCCTGATTTTTCTTGAAAGAAGAAAGATTAGGAAGTCGTTCCCTTTAGTATGTTAACTGCGTTGCAATCCATTCCTATTGAAGCAGGTTTTTCATCAGAAATGCTGTCTTTTTGCTTCGTTATAGTGGGAAGAACTGTACCACAGGCCTACTGTACAGGGGAAGCTCCTTTGAGTATTTTCCCATCATGCTTCATCTGTTACTATCCTGCCAGTGCATTTTGCTGTTGGGTTAAAATGTTTGCAAAAACAATGTCCAACAATTGCTTTCTGCAACAGTCTCAACACATTTTCCCCTTTCACTTTCAGTTTGCACTATCGTGTGCAGGGACAAAAACCTTCATCCTACTCATTTTTTGTTTTAGTTTTGGCATTTGTTTTGTGTAAAAATGCAGTCAGGAAGTTGAATTATTGAATTAGCTTGCTGTATTTAACAAAGAGAGGATTCTCCTGCAGTGAGTAGTGTTACGCAATGTCTTTGTTCATCTGCAAATCCTGTTTGGACAACTAGAGAGAACTCGCAGCGGTGGGATTCTACCAGATATTTTTAGATTTGTTCATCATTTTATCCTTGTATTCCTTGTGTGCATCCTTCCGTCTTTTTGTGTTTTCTGCTATTAATTTATCCCTTTCTCCTCATTTTCTCCCTCACTCCTAAACATTCACCCCCTCCTTCTTCTACCAAACCAATCCTCATCTCTTCATTTACTGACTCACCTCTCTTTGTTGTTATTATTCATAAATAATTTGTCCATCTTTCTGCATCTCATTTTCTTTTTCCCTTTCACTCCTCTCCCCCGACCCCAGGCCATCTACTATGAGATAGGCTTCCTAGTTTGTGCAGCAGTGGGCCTGCTCTTTACCATTCTGATGCCAATAGCCGGGCTCTTCTTCTGCATGTGCCGCTGCTGTGACAACTGTGGTGGTGAGATGCACCAACGCCAGAGGAAGAATGCAGACTGCCGGCGTGGCCTCCTGGGAACGCTGCTCTTCTCCACCTCACTGGTCATCACGTGAGTATGACACATGCAGAAATGACACACATAAGTGAAATATTCAGAAATCGGTTTGCAAGCAGACGTGCACATTCTGCATGCAGACATGCATGTATGCATACACTGGGGTTATAAACAAGATGCATGTCTGTCTCTTACGGCGATACTCTCATGCACATGTGTACACATGTTAGTAACACACACACACACACACACACACACACACACACACACACACACACACACACACACACACACACACAGTCATCAGTTTTCCTCCTCCCCCATGCTGTTTGCTATATATAGTTGAGTCCTACTGTAGATTGCATGTGGCAGCACCCTTCATTCTTTTATTCATTCAAAGCTCTGGTCACTATAACCTTCTGGGGATCCAGACTGAAAGCTTTCATTTACTCTTGTGGCAATGTCTCAGTGCACATCTAAAATACTACAAATCGAAGATAAAGCCGCAATATGCTTTGGAATTTGACCGCAATAATTCTGGTAAACACTTCTGACCTTTTGACAATACACACAATTTCACCTAGACCTGTACTCCTTGGTATTCATTGTAATGAATATAATACCGTTAAACTTTTTTCACATTACTGCACAGTCGTCATTGTTTGTCTTTTATATGCACATTTTAAGCAGTGGCTTTCTCGAATAGGACTGCGGTGAGTTTAAAAGCAGACTTAATTTTCAAGATTTCAGTTCAAAAAATATATTTTGTTTTCCTTTCCCCATTGTTCACTTGCTTTGACCAGATCATTTTAAAAAACAAAAACAAAAATCTGTGGGCCTTTTTGCCCACAGATTCTGCATATTCACACACAGAAACACATCTGTTTCTCTAAAGTCTGACTCTTTTTGCTGTGGTGTGATAGAAAAGTTTTATATAAGAAGTGTATAGAAAAGGTAGCTATGGGCTAAAGTCAAACTCTTGGTAAACATGAGTTAGTTTGCTGCTTTAAAAGTGTGCCAAGTTTGTCTTGATGCATTCTCAATTATCCAGGAGATGTGCCAAGTTTGATAATGTTAGATTGGATTTGTTAGCTCAGCTTTAACGAATGCAAGTGATAAAGCTTTAAGATGCTATATGAGTTCTTTCACTTTTTCGAAGTTTAAAGTGTTAGTTTTTCATTTGGAATGAGCTGTTCTCTTTAGCGGCACTTTCCCTTTTTTCCCCGTAACCAAACTGACCAATCGGCCTCAGATATACTGTCTAGCCGTTTCTTTGACAGTCTCATTAGCTTCAACTGCAACGTGACGTGCAAATCTCTGGAAATGGAACTGCACATTACTGCAATGCTGATCGCAACTGGGATTGTTCTGCTTGTTATGCCACATAAGCATGCATGTCAGTTTAAACACATGCTTTTACAAATAGATGATAGGATGTGAGTGTATCTGGCTGCTTTATCGTGCTAATACTAATCTGGCAGCCAGTAATCTGCCAGTGTAGCTATCTGCTGTTGTTTCCCAGGTTTTTTTTTTTGTGTGTTGTTACTTAAACCCAAAGTACATGCAGGACAGTAACCTCGTTGTAAGCTAGCATTTTCTATGTGTATTAAGAGCATAATTCTGACATGAAAATCGTGTTAGATAAAGTGGGACATTCAATTAAGTCTATAAGTATTCCAATATACAAAGTACCCTGTTTTTCAGAGGCTAAAAAAATAACTAGACAAGCTAGTATAACTTTAAATGTGGGGATTGTTTTTAATATTTGGATGAAAATCATTTTCAGTCAGTGACTGATGGACATCACCAATCACTACTGATTATAATGTAACCAGGCACATATTTGGCAAAAATATAGATTTCCATCCATCCATTTTCTTCCGCTTATCTAATCCAGGAGAGCTGGAGCCTGTCCATAGGGCGAGAGGCAGGATACACACTGGACAGGTCAGCAATCTCTTCCTGGGTTAACACAGAGACGGACAACAATTCATGCTCTCATTCAGACATATGGCATGAGGGGAATACAAAGTCTTTTCAGCTGCCTTCAGTTGAAAATGGATGAAATAAAGCTTTACATTCACCCTGTACTTCTTCTTTATGAGCCCATCAGACTGTCCTGTAACTTGATGAGTCTCATCTGTCAGAAAATGGACCACAAGAAACCTAATCTTCCTTCCATTCTGGTTTACAGTCTCAGCAGCACAAGAAGCATAGCCACTGGGGATATAGCAACACTACAAAAGATGTGGGAAAACAACAGTTGAGCTAGACTGAAGGCATCCAGGAGTGTACTTAGTTTGATGTTCCTCGACTTTCAGTCTTCATTGGAACAGAGCCTAGTTATATGAAATTCCCCAGCAACATCCCAGCAGCACAGACAGAAGAGTCTGAGAGCATCCTCACAGCTCTTATTAAATCTCCCGAGCTACCAGGCAGAGATGCAGCAGAGGCTCTAATGAAGCAATTACAGGCTTGAGAGGGATGAGTTCCAAGCCCAGGCCAAGACTGCTTTTTACTGCCACTAAAAAGCTGACAGCCAGGCACAGAAAAGTGGCGGGGGTGACATTTATTTTCCAAGAAGTGTTAAAATCGGATTAAGAGAGGGGAAAGACTCCCAGGTAAGGGTGAGAACATCGAAATGACCACAAATGAGATATAAACACAGCTAAATGATGGCTACAGAACCTGGGCATCACCTTCTGTTGCACTGTGAGATAATATAGTGCAAGTAACTCTTTATTATGCATTATTTCAACTCATATTTGATGCTAAGCATTCATTGTAGGGAAGTTTTCGCAGCACTTTCCAGTCATCCCTTCATATCTAAGTAGTATAGACAGAGATGTAATCTCTTACTACCTTGCTTTGCTGTCAGTTAACTCAGCAAGGTTTTAATCTCTCAATATACAAGATCTTATGAAGGATTGTGTCTTTATTTATAAAAACCGAGTGATGCAAAGTGGATTTCAGTGTCGGGATGGCTACCAAGCTGCTGTTACTGGAGATACACCCAAGCACACAGATAACATTGTCACAATCCAGCCTGCCATATAGGCTTAAGGGCTTATCAACTCTGCCAGAAATGTCAAACAAGCCTTTGACTGTTGCCTGAAGACACTACACTTTCCTGAGTTTAGATAACATGCCCTTACTGAAAAGGTAAATCCCATACCCTTATCCTAATTACAGAGTGGAAAGCAGTCATAGTTGCCTCTAAATAATGGCCATGCCAAATGTGAAGGCAACCTGAATTAAGAAATAAAAACAGAATGGTAAAAAAGTGAGTCAGGAGAATTTGGTATCAGTCAGATTTTTGCTATTGTACACCACCTGCCTAAACACAGAAGGGTGTCCTGTGGTGTTTCGCACTGGGACGTTGGCAGCTGATTATTTCGGTCCTGTAGGTTGTGCAGTGGGGCCTCTGCAGTCAGGTCAAGTCACTGTTATTTATCTAGCACATGTAAAAACAACAGGAGTTGCCCTGAGGTGCTTTCCAGCCGAGGAAAACATATTAACAGTTCAAGTCCCTAAAAATATAAATACAAAGCCCACATAAACAGAAACATGAATACACTGAAAAGCAAAGCAAAAATGTAATAATCATAATATAAAAAAATCTATCAAAAATCAATAAAATAAAAACCTCAGAGTAAAATTATACAAAAGAATACATTTAAAAGAAACAACAGTCATCTAAGGGAGCAAAAAGGAAACATTGACAGGTGGCTGACAAAAGGCAGGCGCCTCAAATTTTACCTGGCTAGATCACTATGGCAACCTGTAGACATGCAAAGCTAGTTATGGTTTTGGGTTTAAAACCAGCTACAAGTGCTATATTTTAACTTGTAATTGTGATTGATGTGCAATATATACATACACCAGTGTCTCCATGAGGTGTTCCTTGTTGGAACATTGTTCACTTGCAGAACACAGGTTCCACAAGATGCCAAAAACATTAATAGGAATCGGAATAATTTTGGCATTTTGCAGTTGCTGGAAATTTGTTCCCTGCCAATCCATGAACTGAATGTGCTGTTTCACCACTTCTCAGAAGTGCTCTATTAGAGAGAGACCTGGTGTCTGTGGAGGCCGTTTGTGGAGGGCAGCGATGGTTGTATGGGGAAAATCCCAGTAGATCAGCAGCTTGTGAAAAAAACAGACCTGGCCATCTGGCGCCAACAAACATGCCACATTCAGAGTCACGCAAATAATCTTTCTTCCCATTCCCTACTCAGTTCAATCTTCAGTATGAACCTCATCATGTGTACATCTAAATGTTTTGGCTTACTTTCCTATGATTATCTGATAGGGGTTAACAAGCAGTTTACCAGTTTTACCCGGTGAAGTGTGTGGTGAAGACTTCCTCCTGAATGAGCGAATTGTATATATGTAGCCAAGGTTTCTGGCGTATGTGCGACAGACTGAGCATTCCTGGATCCACTGTGGCAAATAAAGGAGGCAAAAAAAGCAAAACAAATAAAGCAAATCGGTGAACCAGGTAGAAATGGGAAGAAAAAAATCTGTAACAAGAAAGCTAATGAGAAAATTTCCCTCTTATATCATCCTCCTACTGTGAAGGTGGTAGGGTCAAATCCCAGAGGAGCTGCCAATGAGCTGCAGTTGTAAACGTGAATGAGTAATGTTCACTGGGTTAGAGTAGCGCTGTAGGGCTATGGGGTTTGATTCACACGGATGCCAGTCATGCTGAAAATGCATGCACTTCTGCTCCGGCTACAAATGTACTGCCCAAGTAAAAGCAGGCAGGATTGTTGTCATTGTGTGCTAAACTCTGCCAAACACAAAGCAGATGTTCATCACTGACTTTTAATGTTGTATCTTACAGGCAGAGACACTGGATTGGCTTTGTGGGAACAAACATGATGAGAATGATTAATTACATTTGTGGACATACTCATAATTTAATCAGAAACATATTACAGCAATTTGCCAATTAGTGGAGCTGAACTATTAACACATTCACCAGGTTAATTTAGGTGAAGGAATATTGAAATCTAATTAAGCATAAAATGATGTATTAAACAGGCCTTGAG